ATGTTTTACAGAATGTGGGTATAATAACCAAACAGTTTTTGGTGTCCATTGACTTCCAAACTATTTTTTCCATACTGTGGAAGTCAATAGCTCAAATTGTTCAAAATATCTTTTTATGTTCAACAGTAGAAAGAAACTCGTACAAGTTTGGAACAACTTGAGGGCGAGTAGGCTACATTTTCGAGGATTATTTTACCGTTTAAAATTATTTACCGTTGATTTAAGTACTTTAGGCGTCGAGGTGTGATATGTAAATACATTCCTAGACATCCTACATTCATCATTTCGACAGTTCTTAACTCATGTATACTAACAACTGACAAAATAATTTACTTGGGTGTTAAACGAGTATTAGCAACTGTTCTTACCTAGAGTAGGCTACTTAAAAAGATCCGCCTATTATTATCTTTCTGTTTGTCAACGCGGTGAAATCGTGAAAACTTGTGAAATTCCCAAATGGCGTCGACTCCTATTGACACAAATTGATTTCGCCCGCGTAAATTAACCGAATATCGGTAAATGTAACTTCACTGATAATCTTCTCCAAAAAACAACAACCGGAGTCCGTGAGATCAGTTCGATTGAATCTTGTGAACCGGATCGAGCGATTCATTAAAAAAAATCCGATTCTAAAGGAACGGTTTATTCGACTGAATCTTGTGAACCGGATCGAGCGATTCATAAAAAAAGATCCGATTCTAAAGGAACGGTTTATTCGATTGAATCTTGTGAACCGGATCGAGCGATTCATAAAAAAATATCCGATTCTAAAGGAACGGTTTATTCGATTGAATCGTGTGAACCGGATCGAGCGATTCATACAAAAATATCCGATTCAAAAGGAACGGTTTATTCGATTGAATCGTGTGAACCGGATCGAGCGATTCATACAAAAATATCCGATTCAAAAGGAACGGTTTATTCGATTGAATCGTGTGAACCGGATCGAGCGATTCATAAAAAAAGATCCGATTCAAAAGGAACGGTTTATTTACGAATCAAATCGAATCTCGCTACTTACCTCACAAAAGCGCCAAGAGAGCAAGGGATGTCATTTTCAGTTAATAACATGGAATATTAATGTTAATTACAAATAAAATTCACAATAATAAAAATAAAAACCGTTTCCTTTGTATTTCCATTGTTGTAGCACAGGGGGCAGTCCGCTGAACCCATATATCGCTCCTTATCCAGCCAGAGTACTGAATGACTTCTGCAGAAGAGGACAAAACAAAACACTCTCCTTTTATCCTCGTGATTTCTGATTCATGTAAAAGACACGATGGCTTCCTCACTGGAGAGGTTGTTTAAAGTGTCAGTGTTTATTGAAAAGACTTATGTTTACTGTGTTACAAACCCTGCTACAGTCTGCAGGGTTTGGGTACTTTTCTCAAGCTTTCATATGACCAAAAAAAATAATAAAAGAAACTGCTTTATGATGTTTTATATGCTCAATTTGTAAATAAAAGACAAAACCAGTGTGCAAATGTCTTCTTTCGTGCTTTTATATTACAAAAAAACTGATTTATGATGTTTTATATGCTCGATTTGTAAATAAAAGACAAAACCAGTGTGCAAATGTCTTCTTTCGTGCTTTTATATTACAAAAAAACTGATTTATGATGTTTTATATGCTCGATTTGTAAATAAAAGACAAAACCAGTGTGCAAATGTCTTCTTTCGTGCTTTTATATTACAAAAAAACTGATTTATGATGTTTTATATGCTCGATTTGTAAATAAAAGACAAAACCAGTGTGCAAATGTCTTCTTTCGTGCTTTTATATTACAAAAAAACTGATTTATGATGTTTTATATGCTCGATTTGTAAATAAAAGACAAAACCAGTGTGCAAATGTCTTCTTTCGTGCTTTTATATTACAAAAAAACTGATTTATGATGTTTTATATGCTCGATTTGTAAATAAAAGACAAAACCAGTGTGCAAATGTCTTCTTTCGTGCTTTTATATTACAAAAAAACTGATTTATGATGTTTTATATGCTCGATTTGTAAATAAAAGACAAAACCAGTGTGCAAATGTCTTCTTTCGTGCTTTTATATTACAAAAAAACTGATTTATGATGTTTTATATGCTCGATTTGTAAATAAAAGACAAAACCAGTGTGCAAATGTCTTCTTTCGTGCTTTTATATTACAAAAAAACTGATTTATGATGTTTTATATGCTCGATTTGTAAATAAAAGACAAAACCAGTGTGCAAATGTCTTCTTTCGTGCTTTTATATTACAAAAAAACTGATTTATGATGTTTTATATGCTCGATTTGTAAATAAAAGACAAAACCAGTGTGCAAATGTCTTCTTTCGTGCTTTTATATTACAAAAAAACTGATTTATGATGTTTTATATGCTCGATTTGTAAATAAAAGACAAAACCAGTGTGCAAATGTCTTCTTTCGTGCTTTTATATTACAAAAAAACTGATTTATGATGTTTTATATGCTCGATTTGTAAATAAAAGACAAAACCAGTGTGCAAATGTCTTCTTTCGTGCTTTTATATTACAAAAAAACTGATTTATGATGTTTTATATGCTCGATTTGTAAATAAAAGACAAAACCAGTGTGCAAATGTCTTCTTTCGTGCTTTTATATTACAAAAAAACTGATTTATGATGTTTTATATGCTCGATTTGTAAATAAAAGACAAAACCAGTGTGCAAATGTCTTCTTTCGTGCTTTTATATTACAAAAAAACTGATTTATGATGTTTTATATGCTCGATTTGTAAATAAAAGACAAAACCAGTGTGCAAATGTCTTCTTTCGTGCTTTTATATTACAAAAAAACTGATTTATGATGTTTTATATGCTCGATTTGTAAATAAAAGACAAAACCAGTGTGCAAATGTCTTCTTTCGTGCTTTTATATTACAAAAAAACTGATTTATGATGTTTTATATGCTCGATTTGTAAATAAAAGACAAAACCAGTGTGCAAATGTCTTCTTTCGTGCTTTTATATTACAAAAAAACTGATTTATGATGTTTTATATGCTCGATTTGTAAATAAAAGACAAAACCAGTGTGCAAATGTCTTCTTTCGTGCTTTTATATTACAAAAAAACTGATTTATGATGTTTTATATGCTCGATTTGTAAATAAAAGACAAAACCAGTGTGCAAATGTCTTCTTTCGTGCTTTTATATTACAAAAAAACTGATTTATGATGTTTTATATGCTCGATTTGTAAATAAAAGACAAAACCAGTGTGCAAATGTCTTCTTTCGTGCTTTTATATTACAAAAAAACTGATTTATGATGTTTTATATGCTCGATTTGTAAATAAAAGACAAAACCAGTGTGCAAATGTCTTCTTTCGTGCTTTTATATTACAAAAAAACTGATTTATGATGTTTTATATGCTCGATTTGTAAATAAAAGACAAAACCAGTGTGCAAATGTCTTCTTTCGTGCTTTTATATTACAAAAAAACTGATTTATGATGTTTTATATGCTCGATTTGTAAATAAAAGACAAAACCAGTGTGCAAATGTCTTCTTTCGTGCTTTTATATTACAAAAAAACTGATTTATGATGTTTTATATGCTCGATTTGTAAATAAAAGACAAAACCAGTGTGCAAATGTCTTCTTTCGTGCTTTTATATTACAAAAAAACTGATTTATGATGTTTTATATGCTCGATTTGTAAATAAAAGACAAAACCAGTGTGCAAATGTCTTCTTTCGTGCTTTTATATTACAAAAAAACTGATTTATGATGTTTTATATGCTCGATTTGTAAATAAAAGACAAAACCAGTGTGCAAATGTCTTCTTTCGTGCTTTTATATTACAAAAAAACTGATTTATGATGTTTTATATGCTCGATTTGTAAATAAAAGACAAAACCAGTGTGCAAATGTCTTCTTTCGTGCTTTTATATTACAAAAAAACTGATTTATGATGTTTTATATGCTCGATTTGTAAATAAAAGACAAAACCAGTGTGCAAATGTCTTCTTTCGTGCTTTTATATTACAAAAAAACTGATTTATGATGTTTTATATGCTCGATTTGTAAATAAAAGACAAAACCAGTGTGCAAATGTCTTCTTTCGTGCTTTTATATTACAAAAAAACTGATTTATGATGTTTTATATGCTCGATTTGTAAATAAAAGACAAAACCAGTGTGCAAATGTCTTCTTTCGTGCTTTTATATTACAAAAAAACTGATTTATGATGTTTTATATGCTCGATTTGTAAATAAAAGACAAAACCAGTGTGCAAATGTCTTCTTTCGTGCTTTTATATTACAAAAAAACTGATTTATGATGTTTTATATGCTCGATTTGTAAATAAAAGACAAAACCAGTGTGCAAATGTCTTCTTTCGTGCTTTTATATTACAAAAAAACTGATTTATGATGTTTTATATGCTCGATTTGTAAATAAAAGACAAAACCAGTGTGCAAATGTCTTCTTTCGTGCTTTTATATTACAAAAAAACTGATTTATGATGTTTTATATGCTCGATTTGTAAATAAAAGACAAAATCAGTGCAAATGTCTTTTTTCGTGCTTTTATATTACAAAAAAAATGATTTATGTTTTATATGCTCAATTTTTAAATAAAAGACAAAATCACCGGTAAAGGATGTCTTTTTTCATGGTTTCATATTACAAAAAAAAAAACAGATTTATGTTTTATTTGCTTAATTTGTAAATAAAAGGCAAAATCAGTGTGCAAATGTGTGCAGAATTGGACTAAACAAATCTCTGTCCTTTTTATCCTCATAATTCCTGATTCATGTAAAAGACAGATGGCTTCCTCACTGGAGAAGTTAAGAGTGCAAATGATGTCTTTTTTCATGCTTTCATATTTAAAACAACAACAACCAGATTTATGATGTTTTATATGCTAGATTTTGAAATAAAAGATTAAATCAGTTTGCAAATGGTGTCTGGTCATTGCATTAATAAATACTAAATTGTAACAGTGTAGAAATATCACAAAACATACATGCATGACAGCAAAAATGCCATTTATATTCCTTTAGATTACTTTATTAAAACAAGTTTGTGTATAAAACATGGTTTACAAAAAAAAAAATCATATTTTACATCTATCTGAATGACTACAAACCACTTAAGAAATAAACAACTGATAAAAACCATGAATGGAAACCCATGGCATCTGAGAACACTGTTAAACACACACCACATCACACACAACTGAACATCAGACTTCAGCAGGTCACTGTATGACGGAAATGAAATCATGACTGATACTAAAATAAACCTGCAGTATGAGGAAACGTAGTATGTAACTATTAAAACAAGCTTACATAAAAGATAAACCATCCGAAACATCATTTTCTAGCTGGATTCATCCATCAACATCACAATCTGGTGCAGTGTGAGGTTTCATGAAATAAAAACCGAAATATGAGAAATGCATGCTGACTTATGAGAAAGACATTTTGAATCCTGCATAGAAAACAAGGGCAGAATACGACTGTAACCAAATGATTTAATGATATGTAACAAAAAATGCTGTGCGCTGTTGATAATGGTACATGAAAACATGTTTTCAGCCTTATGGCTGGTGGGTTTGGCATGGATTTAACCCTCCCACGGGGGGCTCCGTCGGCCGTCTACTTCTGTCTCCACGTGGTACAGCATATCAGCCAGCGTGTGTTCAGTCACAGCACCCCAACCCATGTCACTCATCTGATGATATACAACAAACACTCAATGGTGCAATAATGTAGAACAGCTCAAAACATCACAGACTCTTGTACTTCAACTGTACATTAAGCAGAAACTAATATCGGGCAATATAGCTAAAATATAATGATATTAAGATTAAATTCAAAATATTGATATTTTGCACTAAAATGGCATATAAAGGGTGATGCTTTTCAAATTCAACACTTGTTGTCGGCAAAAAAATTCTAAATCTAAAGCAGAAAGGAAAAGAGAGTAAAACAGTTGAAAACATCAATGCATGCTTTTCTACACTGCTTTTCACTAAATAAACACAAGGAAATCATATTTAATCATTTTGATTTAAATGCACATATACACACACGTTTATTATAGTTAACAAAAACTAAAACCATAAAAAAGTTAACTGAAATAAAATAAAATATAAATAATAACAATAATAAAAATGACATTACAAGTATTAACAAACCAACAAAAAACATTATTATATTTTAGGTAGTTCCCAAAGCAACCTTTCACATTTTTATTTACTTTATTAACTTAATTTACTAAACAAAAAAATGAAAATTAAAATGAATAATAAAAAAACTATATAGACCAAAACAATACCTAATAAAAACGACAAATAAAATGTATAAAAAATTACATTTTATGTCAGCTAGTTGTCAAAGCATCATTTCGTTTAACACGATTTACTAAAATAAAAACCGAAACGAAAATGAATAAAAACTATATAGACATTAAAACTAATAAATAAATAAAAATGACAAAAACAACAAAATGACTAAAACTTTTAAATGAAAATTAAAACAGAAAATACAAAAGTAAAAACTTATTCAAAGTATTAAAATTATAGTCAATGATATTAAAACAACACTACATATATCATGACACAGTAATGCACAGCAATTTATTCTTTTACGAAAAGATTTAAGCAGAACAAAAACGAGGCCCTTCCCAGACAGTTCCCATGAAGACTGAAGCAAACGCTTCCCTAGAATCTCACTGTATGCATTAATACTACGTCACACACAGCATTCATGTCCTCTCTGGAATTAAGGGCTGAGCCAAAGCCGTTAATAATAAGGTGGAGTACAGATGATTTTAGTCTCCGTATGATTTAATGGGCACAAAACATCAGCTATAACATAAATATCTCAGAGCCCTAGAAGAAATATGCCTTTATTTGGGCAAATACCAGTAGGAATATATCAAGTACTATGGTAACAGGAAAAGTATTCACGTTTAAAAAAACTTTGGATTTGACACTCACTGGCTGAAACTTGATGTCTTTTGATGGGTATCTGAAGTGAGGTCCAAAATTAACAGACACCTGGAGAGAGGAAAAAGCATGAAAGATTATCCGGATCCACTCATTTCGGTTCATATGCGTGACATAATCCTTTCAACTCTTTCATACTGCACCATCTAGTGTATGAACAGAGTCTTTACACAGAATATATACAGAGGAACTAATGACAACTCTTTGATAAACACCTCTGAGCAGTCAAACTTATTTAGCTTAGCACAAAGAAGAAAAAAAAAAAAGCACAAATTTGTACATATACTGGTGTTCAAAAGTTTGAGATTGTAATATTGTAATTTTAAAATCGAGCAAGGACGCATTCAACTGATCAAAAGTGACAGTAAAGGCGTTTATAAATAGGGTTGCAAAGGGGTGGAAAATTTCCAGTAAACTTCCGGAAATTTTCCCAAAATCCCTGGAATATTCCAAAAAATCCTAGAAAGTTTCCAACATTTCTGGAATGTTTCCGAAATTTACTGGAAAATGTCCACCTTTTTGCAACCCTATTTATAATGTTACAAAAGATTTCTATTTCAAATAAATGCGGTTCTTTTAAACTTTCTATTCATCAAATAATCCTGAAAAACGAAACGCATCACAGTTTCTGTTTTCAACACTGATAATAATCAGAAGTGTTTCTCGAGCAGCAAATCAGCACATTAGAGTGATTTCTGAAGATCATGTGACACTGAAGACTGGAGTAATGATGCTGAAAATTCAGCTTTGATCACAGAAATAAATTACATTTTACAATAAATGACGTTTATTAAAATGTTTCATTAAAAACATCCCCCAAACTTGTGAACGGTAGTATGCGCATGAGTGGTTGTGTGCAATTAAAATTATTATTTAAGGGGGGGGGGAGTCGTGGCCTAATGGTTAGAGTCGGACTCGTAATCCAAAGGTTGTGGGTTCGAGTCTCGTACCGGCAGGGATTGTAGGTGGGGGGAGTGAATGTACAGCGCTCTCTTCCACCTTCAATACCACGACTGAGGTGCCCTTGAGCAAGGCACCGAACCCCCAACTGCTCCCCGGGTGCCGCAGCATAAATGGCTGCCCACTGCTCCGGGTGTGTGTTCACAGTGTGTGTGTGTTCACTGCTGTGTGTGTGTGCACTTTGGATGGGATAAATGCAGAGCACTAATTCCGAGTACGGGTCACCATACTTGGCCACATGTCACGTCACTTTCATTTACATTCAGGTGAGAGTTTTAACGTGCAAAACAGCAAATTCGAGAGTTTCCGTCCTTCTGTACCTAAACAGACAACATCGGTTTAAATATTTTGCTTGCCTACATTTACTCGCACAAAATAGAAAACACAACTTTCAGACGGTTTTCACGTACCGTGCAGCTCTTGTAGAGGGATATGGCGGGGAAATACATGCCCTCGAACAGATCCTCATAGGCCACACCTTGATTCACTCCGTTCTTAAAAAATATAATCTGACCAAAAATCACGCATCAGTGATGACATCACAATCAAATAGCCAAATACAACTTGAACGCTTGAATATAATGCAGTGAAACACTCACTCGGCTGGAACTGGTGGGTTTTAAACTCTTCTCGGCCTTGTCCACGTAATCTTTCTCTTCAAAGTACAAGTAGCTTTTGAATTTGATCAGCGCCTTTGAGAAAAATTAACAACTGATCACAAATCTCACGGTTACGGTTTTTGAGCCACGGATCAGATCGTTTTTCGGATCAGCAAGAAAAGAAAAAACTATTTCAATGGGACTTTGCTTCCCATTTATAACTTAAAGACAAGTACTTCTTCGATACCACAGCAAAAACTATTAGCCTAACTATGAACGTTCAAACATGATTAAAGAGACAAGTAAAAATAAGAACAAATACACCAATTACAAGCATAGACAAATAAAACAGAACAAAGTTACTAATAAAATAAGGTCGGTAGTATTCAGGTACAGAAATGTAATAATTAGGGTAAAATAACACTGCATAGCGGTCACTGTATAAATTAAATATAGATATTTGTCAAAAGTGTTTTGTTGTTTGATGAGCATTTAACGACAGCAACAGTTAGTTATTTATAGGCTGCTGTCACTTTAAGAGCTGATGCACGGATCCAATATAATGATACACATCCAATTTCTTTCTCAGCTGTTTTCATTCACTTTTCATTCTTTTACCAGAATGATTGTTGAGATCGGTATGTTGTCATAATTTTGTGTGTATGTGTCTGTTCAGAGGTTTCAGATTCAGTTCAGTGTTCGCGCGCAGTGAAACGCGCTTCTTGGCGTGCGTGCTTCATGTGTGCGTGTCTACGCATAGAAAAGAGTGCGCGAGTAACAAATAGAGTTCCCTTTCGCTGGAATGGTTTAAAATTGCCTGCGTGTGTAAACACGTACAAATGATAATCTTTCACTCTATTATGGTTACATTTTGCAATTAATCAGCAGATCACATGCGTGCCAAACCGTGGGGACGGATCAACTACGATCCATTCATCTACTAATTACCATGTAAAACTAGTGATGCACAAAATGCACATTTTACAAAAAAAAACCTAAATCTAAGCTTTCATTTAGCAGAAAACAGAAACTGAAAATAAAGAGTATTTAGTAGTTTAATTAATAAAATGTATTTAATAACCAACACAGAGTTGTATATATAAATTCATTCTCTGCAGTGAATAGGTGCCGTCAGAATGAGAGTCCAAACAGCTGATAAAAACATCACAATAATCCACAAGTAATCCACACCACTCCAGTCCATCAGTTAACGTCTGGAGAAGACAAAAGCTACGTGTTTGTAAGAAACAAATCCATCATTAAGTTGTTTACTGGCCAAAATAGAAGTCCATAATCCATAATAATGCTTCCTCCAGTGAAAAAGTCCATCCCCTGTCGTCAAAATCCACCCACTGCAGAGCATCCATTGGTGAGCAAGTGATGCAATGCTACATTTCTCCAAATCTGATGAAGAAACAAACTCATCTAGATCTAGGATGGCCTGAGTAAATTTTCATTTTTGGGTGAGCTATTCCTTTAAGTAAAATGCATTTTCAGCTGAAGATCAAATAAATCAATAAATAAACAAATTACTTAATTTGTTCATACTTTGTCCTTGTAGGTGTCAGGCAGAGCCTTGGCGGTTTCGGTGTCGTCTGGAAGCTCAATGTAGAAGCCCAAGATGTCGCCCTGTCCGTAGCTGTCAGAGTAATGCTTTCCTATGGACTGATGGAAGCGCGTTCCTTTCTTACTGCGCCATGAGTAGCTGAACTTATCGTAACCCAGAGGAGCTTGTAGGTTTCCTGAGATGAAAAACATATGACGGACGCTGTAAATACATGGAAGCTTCTGTAACTGTTAGCAGTGCTGTTACAGGACAGACCTAAAGGCTGCGACCAGCCCAGCCGAGCCGCGGTGTCCGGTGGCATCTCGTCCACAGTGACCTCAAAATACCACGCGCCCTTTCTGACGCCATGAGACGCTCGGACCATCGAGTAGCCCTTCTCTCCGGTCACCGTCAAGCGGTCGTCTGAAATCTTTAGCTGCGGAGCTGAAATAGAGATAAAAATACAGTAAGCAATTGAGCAGGAGGTTTATTTACAGTGGTGGCCAAAATGATTAGAACACTAGTATTTCCAGCAGCTAAAAATGGTTTTAAGTCAGTTATTTCTATGTTTTGCTGTAGTGTGTCAGTAGGAAATATCATATTTACATTTCCAAACAATCATTTTGCCATTAATTGTAATAATGCAGTGAGATTTTTGTCTGACGACAGCCAGTGCTGCACACAGAGATCTGATCTGATCATCATCAGTCTGTCTGGAGTGACATGAAGACACAGAACAAACTGAGACTAAATCCAGAAGAACCGTGCCAATGTCTCCAAGACGCTTCAAGAAACCTACCTGCAAAGTTACAGTGCTGTTAAAAGTTTTAGGCACTTGTGTAAAAATG